TGTAAAATGAATGAAATTTTTTTCTTAATAAAAAAGTTTAAAAAAAGAAAAAAGAAAAGCTAACCTAAAAAAATGAACAGATAATTCTCAAAAAATATATATAAATGACCAATGATTTTTTTAAAGTGACCAACGTTTCTAGTTATTAGATCAATACAAATTAAAAGTAATATAGATGCCATCTCACATGGTTTAGTATGGCCATCATCAGGAAATCTGATATCCTAATGTATGCACTGTAATAATAAGTCATGGCATGCATTTTCCCACTATATCAGCATTAAGTGGGAAAAACTGGAATTTTTATTTGCTGAGAAACTAGATAATGCCCAGGGAGTTTAAGTTACTTGTTAAGGTTATAAAATAACACATATTAAGAAAAACCTAATGCCAGAACTCTGATACTCAAAATGCATATTTAATTAGGAAATACTAGACCAGTTAAATGTCTACAAATTGCTTTGTTTCTTAAAAGGCTTTCCAAAAGCATAATTAAAACTTACTATTTATTTTCATCCAAATTGTAAACTTTGACACAGAATCATGGAAAAGCTTGGAAATTATAGATTCTACCAAAAAGTAATGCTTTTTTTTCTTTGCTTTCTTTTTCCAGTTTAATTATCTGTTTCTCAGAATTAGGTGCATATTTTGGTTACTCACATGGAATCAAACCCACTGAATTTGAAATGAAAACTTTTTTAAAAAAAAGATTGGAGCTAGTAAATATTGAGTACAAGTTCTGAGCTTTAACTGAAGCAGAATTCTGAAGCAGGAACTCTCCTGAGAGAGCAACTTCAGAGGCAGAATCCTCAGCTTTTCTTCCTTGGTAGTTAAAGATGCTTTGAAGAGAAGATGTTAATTCTTTGCTAATGAAATTAACAGACATAACCCATGTTCGTATAAAAATATTTTAAGGGAAAGAAAGTGAATGGGAGAAGCTAGAAAGAAGGAAATTAATCCAGGCATGACATTGTATGGGGCAGCCATTCAGATAGTGACAGAAACTTGTAAAGAAAATGTGACTCTGTTCTTTGCTTTTTCCAGAGGTCGCCTGTAGGCCAGACATTACAGTTCTAAAATGACCTAAGACGACCTCATGAATAATTTGTATTCTAACATCATGAACTCCAATTGCAAAGTTACACAGAATTTCCCAGCATAAAATTCAGATCTACATTGTTGTCCTGTACAAGAGGATGTACACCATCTGGGGGCTCTGAGTGAACAGTAGCTGTGCAGTAGGCACTTGACATCTTTGGGCCACCTGTGCCATGCTTAGTCTCTTCCAGAGTCCACCAGCATTCTTGCTTCATAGACTGTTTGCAAAGCACAGTCCACACGGCAACATGAAGTTGTGTTGAAGAAAACTATCCCGATCTTGAATGCAAGTGAATTGCTAATCCATGTTAGGAAAGAATTGTGCTGTTTCAATGGGCCTTTTCTCGACTGACTTGTAGGAGCACACTCACTTCAGACATCTGAGATCTTAGTATCTTGGAGAAATAAAGCATGGGTTTGCTTTGGTAACACAGCCATGTGCTTGGACTGGTCCAGTAGGAAGGGTTTGGAATCCCCAGAAGTTCAGAAGTAGACTCAGGTCTAATGATATGACCTTTACGTGTGCAGAAAGAGACAGTCCCATCTCTTCTGCCATTACCGTCCATTTTTTAACTTTATTATATCTTTCCATTTCTACATGCCAAGAAGACTGAACTGTGACATGACTTGGCTTGTAGAGTCCAGTGAAAGTCAAATTTTTAAAGTTCATCTTTGATAAAGTTCGTGACTTTCCTCTTGACTCTTATATTCTTCAGCTGAAATAAAATTTCTCTGTAACATTTTTTATGACACTTCAACATTTAAGCTTTGTAATACTTCTTTTTATTTTCCCAAGTAAGAAATAAATTAATGCAGGCATAAGATTGTGAGGGAAAATGTTTCTCAATACCCTGAAATATTCTTCCATAAGCAGTTTTTATTATCTCCAAAGAAAGTGTTCAAGAACACCACAGTGAGCACCATCAGGGTGCAGACAGGAAAGCATGTATACTCTGTTCAACTAAGTCAGAGAGATGCCAGCAAGGGAGGTAAAGGAAGGAGCTTATCTTCTTGAATCCACAGGGATTAACTTTTGGTTTTCCATGTGACTATTTTAAATGTTTAAAAGGCTGTTTGTGAAGAAAATGTCTATTTTTCTGTCTTTAAATTATTCCAAACTTTTTTTTTTTTATCAAAATTTCATTTGGTATCCAGGACTCAGTTTAGAAAAAAAGAACAAGAAAAAGAAAGTATAAAATGGAAAGTGAATGCACTGTGTGCATATGAGAGCAGAATGTGAGGAATCCTTTCAAGTTCACTATGGGAAAATACCCCCCACACCTCTTAGGATAAAGAGATTACAAGCTCCCTAGCCAGAGGCTGCTTAGGCCTTCCTCTGCCTTTGACTCAGTGATCAATAGCTCTGAAAGCTTATGCAGAAGCCTGCAAAGGAAACTTGTTTGAAAAACAAAGTTAAGCAACTTTCAATTTGCAAACAGTACATAAATGTAACCTAAATAAAAGGCTAGAGCAGGGCAATGGAAAGACTCGGAGGGACTGAACTATCTTTCAAGGAGGCACAACCATCTGCAGCACAAACTTTGGAGAGGACGATTGTGGTAATGCAAATGATTAAATTTTTAGAAAGCAAAATAGTGAGTATTAAGTGACATTAAGAAATTTACAGTCATTTCTATAAGACTACACATTAGCCATGCTTTGGGAGAGGAAAAATGGAAGGGAAACGTTCCTTCCACATGTTGATGCAGAAAACTGGCCTTTCCTACAGTCTTGTAAAATATAGTGTACTACAATGACTGTTTCAGAACAGTCATTTGCTCTATTGGCTACATTTACTTTTTAACAAACACATCTCGTTTTGAATCTTTAACATGTCTTCAGTCTTTAATAAGGTAAATGTTCTATATTGAATCATGCAAAGGTGTTTGCCAGCACTATTTGTACTCTTTGAGATGCAGGAATGAATATTTAAGAAAAACTTTGGCCTACATTGGAAAAACTGAAAGTAAAATATCTGTGAGGCGATTTTCTCAGAAGAATCAAATGTTTTCCCAGTTTTACCTCCTTCTGTCCTTTTACACTCCCTCCCTCTTTATATAACATAGGTGGTGTAACTTCTTGGTCATGAATTTTGATGATTTGTCTGTCTAATAATAGCTCTTTTCTCTCTTTGCATTTTCAAGCTTTTCCCATTGAATGTTTGCAGCTAGTGATCAGTTTCTCCATTTAAAGCTATGTGCCTTTCTTCCAATGGGTGCTCTCTCTTGGTACTGGAATCTATTTGAACAACAGATAACCCTGACGTCATTCCCAGGACACATTAAACTGTTAATGCTAAGTGCTGTAAAGAAACTTAAAGCCCTGCAGTCCCCATATGACAGTGTTAGATGTAACGTTTAAATTAGAAGATGACCTGCCAGATGAACACTTAATGCCTGTAATATATTGTTTGTTTTCCAAAAAATATTGCTTGATATGGAGGAGGTGCCCTGGCCTTTGTTGTGTTTGTATACACTGAACACCTTCTCCAAGACAGAATGTTAGAACAAAAAATACCTTTTTTCAAGTATGACAAACTTCACCATCCTCTCCCCACTGACTGCAAAGGCAGATGTAAAGCATGCTTAACTTAAACATGAACAGGCATAAAGTACTCCCCATGTCTGTCTGTAAATTTCCTATTTTGCATCTACCCACAATGGGAGTAACTATATCTTCACAAAAATAAATTATACTGCTATGAGGTTTTTGTGCCTTAATTTCTTGACATTTAAAGTTCCTGCTGCATTCAGCTGTAGGAGACAAGTGCTTTTAAAACCCTACAGACACGTTAGGGTTAAGTTTTTGTGGCAGGAAAGGAATCAGCCAAGCACAAACTCTTAACTTCGAAGATGAAAATACGTAAGCTTCATTGGTTTTCTGGTAGCATTGTAAGACTAATGCATATTTCCAATTAATACTGAAGAACGGAGGTATATCTGCACAGGAAAAATAATGAAAATATTTTACATTATTCTGTGCTTTCTGTTGAAAAATAAATTTTAAGATGTAAACTCATTGAGTAATAATTAGATTTCACAAGAACTGACAAGAGTTTCTGGGGTTTTGTTTGTTTGTTTAAGATCCTTAAATTTTAAAAATACAGTATACATCTCAAGCTTTCCCAAGACAAGTGACCAGGCTTGTTCCAAGTTCTGAAACTTACTGGAGTTTTTGCCTTGTTTGGGGGGTTTGTTGTGCTTAAAATAATATTCTTTATTCATATAATCCTACAGACTATTATGTAATTACTATTATGCAAAAGAAATTGAACAAAACAAAAATAAAATCTTTAAAAGGACCTTAATGATTTGTAAAAACCCCTCCCCCACCAGAAGAAATACTGTGGGAGGGAGACAAAGCAAGCAATGAGTATAAGAATAAAAAGATGGTTCGCATTGCATGGTAGACTTTTCCTTCTGGAACATTCTCTCAATACATGACTTGAGTACTTTTTGTCCCTTCCATTTGCCTGCTGGAGTGATCCGGTGCCTGTACGAATGGCCTGGGTTGCAAGCTGCTCACAATACATTCTGGTGAAATAATAGCATGCGATCGCTCTAGTTGGAGCAGTTAATAACTGGTTAAGCAGCATTTCCCTCCAAGGGCTGTTTTCATCGCCCCAAAGCAGTCACTCCCAACCACCCCATCCATCCCTCCTCCGTCTTTAACAATGCCTCAACTTCCTTCTCAAATTCCTCTCTCCTATCCCTGAACAAACGCCAAGACCCTATATTTGTCCTGTCCTCTTTGCACAGGCGAAGCCCGAGACAGCTGATGGGGGTAAAGGCGGACCGGTGCATAGAAGTCTGGCAGGGCCCCCTGGCCAGCAGGTGCGCAGCCCTGGCGCGCACAGAGTTAAAGGCATCATCGCAGCCATTAGAGGCAAAGTTGGGCTCCGCGCGAGCCCAGTCCGCGCCGCCCCGCGCCCGCTCCACTCGCCGCCGGCTCGCTGGGCGTGGGGAGGGCGGCGAGCACGCAAGCCGAGCGGCTGACGTGGGACGAGCTGCCAGGTAGCGGAAGCAGCCAGCCGCCGGCGGAGACACTTCGCAGCGTGGCAGCCCGGGTCTGCGCCTGAAGCCTCCGGATCCCAGCCAGCTTTGGTCCAACCCTCGCCAGTCGCAATCCCCAGTGCCCAAGCCAGTCTTCGCTGCGAGCGGCAGCATGCGTGCAGTGTCGCGCCCCGGGCTCTGAAAGCAGCCTGTGGACACGCTTGCTTGCCTGTCTTTTCAGGTTTTGGGGCTCTTGGCTACACGAATGTGCCTCCCTCCCTTGGCATGATGGGGATCTTTTTGGCGTCTGTTGGATTTGTGTTCTTTTCCGTGTTATATGTACAACAAGGGCTTTCTTCTCAAGGTAAGTCCGTTGCTTGTAGTGTGTATGTGGTGCTGCGTGTGTGTGCGTGTGCTGTACCAACTGGAAGAATGGACAGACGGCTCGAGAGTGGCTCAAATCAAGCCAACAGTGGGTTTAGGTAGTATGAATAGTCTTTGGCTTGGCTTTTTTTTTCCCCCTTCAAAGTTTATTAATCACAAGCAAGCCAGGTTTCAAAGAAAATCTAGTAGACGCCAGACTGGCAATGGGCTGAGTTCTTCAGTGAGCACATACACAGGTGTGGTGTGGTGTGGTGTGGTGTGGTGTGGTGTGTGTGTGTGTGTGTGTGTGTGTGTGTGTGTGTGTTCCATGTGCATGAACAGAGCAACCACTCATGCACATACAATCATTAGGAATACAGAGCTGATGGTTGGAAGGGGTTTCTCTCTGCCAGTACTCCCTGTATGCAGACAGCTTTAGTCTCCTTCTCTAGTTCCTGTGACTTCTTCTCCATGTGTGTTTACCAGAGAACCCACAAGCAGGTTCTAATTGCATCATAAGCAGCAGCTGCTTGCTGGGCCCAGTTGTTCAGGACTTTGCAGGCTGCAGTGGATGCTTCGGCACCATGAGCAGATCACAGTGTTTGCCTCCTGAAGACTGCATCACTTCTGCAAGCAGAAATGCCCCATTCCGCTGGCTGATATGAGCAGAAAACCCTATTCAGATAGGCTGCCTTCTCATAGTGTCCATTTCCTTGAAACATAATCAGTTCCTTTGAGATTTCATAGATAGTTAAAAGAGCCACCCAGATTCACCATCTGTAAGAAATGAGGAGAAAGCGGTAATCAATCCTGCCATCCTTTCAACGACCCTCCTTTCCTATGTGTGGTTGTGCCCTTCTATCAGCCACAAATAGAAGGTTTCTTCTAGAGGGCCATCAGCTCTTTGCAAAGTGCCCCTTAGAAAGGCTAAGAACAATCACCTAGTTAGCAAGGAAAACATCATCCCATGTTCAAGGAATGCCTGTAAGGAGGAAGGGGCATTTTATGTTTATGGCTTTCACATGGATTATCTTACGAGCTGGCAGTGTCAAGGTTAGCAAAAGGGCTAGACTGAGTCTCTGTATTGTCTTTCAAATAATCTTTGATCTGAGCAAAACATGGACGTATGATTTTTTTATATCCCCTGACATATGTCAATTTATAATGACTTGAAGGGAACAAACATGAAGGTTAACTTGTAGGGATGAAGCATATGCCTCTTAGGTAGTGTACAACTTGTTTCACTACTTGGGCTCCAGAACAAAATTGCTAACCACTGTTTTGACAGATTAAGAATGTGGGTTGTAAGAATATACTTACTACCTATTTCTAACATGAAACATCCCGGTTAGTCACAGATGGTTTGGAAACTTAGGAATCCAGAGGCTTTCTCATATATCAATTGGACAGAAGGTCTAAAATGCACCTCCCTGGATCTCTCAGTAAGTTTTAGGGAATGCTGCAATCTGGCAAAAAGATGTTTGGATCTAACTCTGGGCTGCTTGGCTAGCAGAGAGAGCTGTTGGCAAGCTCGTTAACCTCTCCATTATCTGGACTTGATCAAGAACAAAGTGATGTAGGCATGATACCAAGAACAAGGCACGCAGAGGCAAAGCAATGGGGATAGGGAGCCCTGCAGAGATGTCATGGGGGTTGTCATTGCTGTTTTTATTTTCTCCTTCCAATGCCCACGAAAAAGGCTAAACAAACAAAAACTTATGTCGAGTTCTCCAAGAAAGAGACATTAGCAAACCTGGTACAGACATTCCAAAATGATGCATTTCTGTCTTGCAGCAAAATTTACCGAGTTCCCGCGGAACGTGACTGCGACCGAGGGACAAAATGTGGAAATGTCCTGTGCTTTCCAAAGCGGCTCTGCTTCAGTGTACCTGGAGATCCAGTGGTGGTTCCTTCGGGGACCAGAGGACCTGGAGCATGGGACTGAAGCGGCTGGCTCTCAGGTAGTCATGGATTATATATAGCCCACAGAACCCCTGCACGTCAGTCACTTTCTTAGATCTATGCCTGTCTAACCAGCGCCAGGGTCCATGTGTCCAAGGGAACCTTCCCTGCTCTATGAGAGTGAGCAAGGCTGAATTTGTCCTGGTTACATTAAGTTAAAAGCACCTAGGAAGTCACACTATCGAGGACTTTCCCGATTTAGACCAGAATTAACCAGCCCTTAATACCCGGAGCTGTCCAAACTGGCCATGTATCGCTGGTACAGACCAGGGCACTCTCCACCAGTCTTCCGTCTCCCCAATATCAAGGATGAGGGGAGTCATTCCTCCATTCCTCTTCTAGGTTAGCGTTCTCTCTCTCTCTCTTTCTCTCTCTCTCTCTCTCTCTCTCTCTCTCTCTCTCTCTCTCTCT